TGTGGTCTTATCTTTCTTCTTATTTGCCTGCTTTGAGTATTTGAGTATTAGACTTGTCTAATTCTATTGATATAGTAATAAATAATAAAGAATCTCTGTAATTCCTGTAACATTCAGCCAGAGGACAACTTGAGGGTCAGTTGTACCGTCACACTGACCCATACTGGTTCATAAAACCTCCTGTGGTTTTATTTTAGGACAGAGCCTCATTTATTTGTGGGATGCAGGGATAGGATGTGACACATTGTTGGCAGTGCAGGCTGTGGGATACCAGAGCCTGAGCAGTTTAATCAGCTGATCTGTGATGGGGTTCACCACTGACAGGATATATATTTATATACAGGCTGCAGTGGCAAAAAGTCACACACTCATATCCAAGTAATACGTTGGAACAGGTGTGGCAGAGCTTACCATTCATTACTTCGGTTGTTCTGTGTAATCCAGAAAGGAAACACTGCTCTGCACATAGCCTCACTGGCCGGCCAGGCGGATGTCGTCAGAGAGCTGGTCACTAATGGAGCCAATGTCAACGCACAATCACAGGTGGGATACACACATACACACACAGAGTCATAGCAGCACCTGAGTGCTGCCGGTGTTTTTTAGACAACAGATTAACTGCACTACTGTGATGAACACATTTATTACAATGATAGTGTATCAGGAAGTCAGTGACACTGAGGGAATCACTTCGGAAAGATCTGTTCTGGCGTTGTTCCAACTAGGCCTCTCCTGGAAACTGCTGTCTGTGCCTTTTACATTTAACTCTATCAGATGGGGATGGGAGGGAAGGCTTCTGGTGCTTGCAGCTTCTCAAAAAAACAAAACTAAATCAAATGCACAAATGTGTTTTGGAAACTACTCACACACAAAAAGATAAAACTTTAAATAGAACAATTTTTTTTTTTTATGTTACACTTTTGTTCATTTATTTTAATATTTTCTAAAACTGACTAGACTGTGTGGATTATATGCACAATACAAGTTAAAGTCATCCGTCCTCTGATTTTTCAAGCTAAAGAAACTGACATGAAGTGCAGGTAGCTGTGAGTTTTGTTGGTAATTGTGTGTGTTTTGGTCCTTGCTGTGTGCAGAATGGCTTCACTCCTCTGTACATGGCAGCCCAGGAGAATCACCTGGAGGTCGTTCGGTTTCTTCTGGAGAACAGCGCCAGCCAGAGCATCGCCACAGAGGTAGAGTAAATGTGCACATCCTTCCTCTCATAGTCCTATATCCAGCTCTCTGTACAGTAATATGTTCATGCTTTTGCCTCGGTCATGTGTTCTTTACATCAGTACTAACAATGTCCATCTCCTCTTCTCTTCTTCCTTTCAATCCCCCACTTTTTACCCACCCTGCACCTGCCTGTGTCGTCATCTGTCTGACCTCTTATTCTGTAACTGTCTTTTTTTTCCTCATTCTCTCTGTCTCACGTTGTCACTCTGCTCTTCCCTTTGTCTCCCCCTCTGTCTCCTCATGAGAGCCTCGGCAGAGCCTCATTGATTGGTTTGTGTGTGTTGGTGGAAGCAGAGTGACCTTGAGTTGGTCACAGATGAGCTCCGCTCCGTTCCCTGCCTCCTCCTCCATCGTTGCTCCTGTGATTTACGCTGCTCAATCTGTGGAACTCATTCACCTGCATGCTAGACAGTCACCACACGCATGAACATGTGTTTAAAAGGCGATAGATAGATAGCTGATGGGGCTAATGGTGACCCCAACAAGGCTGCGGTTCACTGGTTTACAAATCCTAATTCTTTAAAAGATCTCTGGAAAACTAAATGTACAAAGAGTGACTTTCAGTTGCAACCAGATGGTTGTCACATGGTTGTTTGAGGAGAGTTTACATTAAAAAACAAACTTTTTTTTTTTTTTACCACCAGCTATGATAATCACAATCAGCTTCAGCTCATTTATTATAAAGAGGGTTTACGGTGCTGTGCATAAGTCTTGAGTCATTCCTCATTTCTTTATATGACATATGGGCCAAAAAACAAACATTCTTGTAAATATTTAAAGTGGTCTTGATCTAAATTTCTTTGCGCCTCGACTGAGTCACTCATTTTCAATATTAGATGTATCTCTAAGGTAAGTCTTGTCTTTGTGTTTTTTTTTCTTAAAGTCAACTTTCATACATCGTTCATCTGCTGGAGTAGTCCCTCGATTATCGCTGGGGGTTACGTTCCACACAACCCTGCAATAGAAACGTTATATTTGTGCAATTATTTTTATATATTTTAAGGCTTTATGAACCCTTCCCACACTCTTACAATGTTCTAAACTCTGATGTAATCTTAACAACATACATATACATACCATACAGTACTGCAACATTTTACTCACCAGCTCTGCAGAACAGCAGCTTGGTTCCAGTCGGTCGGGGTTGGTTCAGCAACGAAGCCCACCGCCCCGTCCAGGTTGATGTGCGCGTGGATAATTGAGCGTCAGGAAGCTTCAGGATCATTTGAGACTTTCCTGCCAGTTCTGTGAGCTTCATAGATGACATACATTTGCGTTGCAAAACTTTCCCTCAGTTTCGGCGGAAATCAGCGACTGGAAGCACTGTTGGCTTCTGGGTAGTGTAGTTCTTTTGACTGGCCAGTACAGGCGTATTGTAAGTATGTAAGTAAGTAAATTTTATTTATATAGCTACTTTTACAGGTCAGAAACCGCAAAGTGCTTTACAGAATACAAGACATAAAAACACAAGATAAAAGATAAAACAACATGCTTATGACATAAGACAATGTAAAACATTAAAAGCCAATCTGAACAAATGTGTCTTCAGATGTTTTTTAAAAAATATTAAGAGAATCGAGGCAGCGCAAAGTCCGAGGCAACGCACTCCACAGTCTGGGGGCCACAGCCCTAAAAGCTTTATCACCTCTGGTCTTAAAATGAATTTGTGGGACCATTAACAGCATTTGACTGGAAGATCTGAGGCTCCGAGAAGAGGAGTATTGAAAGAAAACTACAAAATGGCAGCACCTGTCTGAAGAATATTTATTTATTTATTGCTTAACTTTGTATCACGTTAGTAATATTAAAGTTGACAATCGTTGAAAAGCTATGAAAGAGAGAGTCTGCGAAAGTCAAAGCACATAACGAGAGACTAATGTAGTGTTTTAGTCCTGACACTTTTTAATTTTGTCCATTACTTGTCCACTTTCTTATGTTTTAATCACTTACAACATATTGTCATGGTCATCTACTAAAGACCTTAGGAAAGACTGAAGAACTGTTGATCAAGACCACGTTAAAAGATTACAAGACAGTTTAGTTCGTCAAAAGCAAAGAATAAAGAGTTCACAACATATGCACTGCGAGGACAATCCGATCCTTGTTAATCCTTAGTAATAAATATATTTTGATTTTTTTTTTGTTTGTTTGTTTGCTTGTTTGTACAGTTTTTTTTTCATTCAACCTTTATTTATACAGGCTAGTCTCGTTGAGCCACGAGGACTCATTTACAAGAGAGTCCTGTTCCTGACAGAACATATAAAGTACAGACAACTGTCAGTAAAAATGCATTTAAAACAAGAGTAGTGTATAAAACAATAAATCAGAACGCTGTAAAACAGGGTGAAATACTAAAAACATGAACATTGACATTATCAAATGTTTAAAACCCCTTAAAGAGACAACTTCAGTTCTTGTTACAAGGTGTTCCAGGTTGCAGGAGCAGAGTAGGAAAAGGTATTTTTGCCAAGTTCGGTCCACAGTAGTTTCCTGTAGGTTTCCAGCAAACAAGATAAAAAAAAAAAAGTAAAAAGCAGCATTTCTTCACAACCTGCTCCTAACCTTCGACCAGTCAATCACATCTGCTGTTCTCTTTCTGTTCCACCACTGATGATTTATTACACTTCCCCATTCAGCATTCACGACTCCTCTCTCTCCTCGTACACAGGATGGCTTCACCCCTCTGGCGGTGGCCCTCCAGCAGGGCCATGACCAGGTGGTCTCCCTGCTACTGGAGAACGATACAAAGGGCAAGGTGCGCCTGCCTGCCCTGCACATCGCTGCTCGCAAGGACGACACCAAGGCCGCGGCCCTGCTCCTGCAGAACGACCACAACGCTGATGTCGAGTCCAAGGTGGGCACTGAAGTCTCGCTGTAGCCACTCACCTGGTTACTTTGTTCAAACCTTATATTTGAGCGCAGATGACCTTCTGTGTTTCTGTTTTGATCGTTTATTTACTTTGTCTTTTTTTTTTTTTGTTAAAATTGGCCCAAATGTTGCAGAAAGGAGAAAGGACCAAACATATTTTTAGTATATTTACTCTTCATGAATCTACTGGCACAGGATTTTGTTTGTGCGCAGTGTGACTGTAATGGAAAAGATTTTAATAATCAATCTCCAACTCTTTTTTTTTTTTTTTTTTTTTTTTTTTTTAAATCTTAAGCAACAACATTGACTTCAAATCTCTGTTGGTTTTGCCAAATTTTTTCACACTGACCTACTTCACTCCTCTCTGCTCCTCCTCTTTTCTTACAAGCCTTTTTTAAAATTGATTATTATTTATTTATTTATTATTTGCTTTTTTTTTCTCACTAATTGCCAATTCTCTCCTCTTTTGGCTGACTCTGTAGATGGTGGTGAATAGAACAACAGAGGTACACTTACATCTGTACATTCTGTAGTCTCCTCATCACAGTTCATGAAAACTCTGAAAACAACACTCAGTTCAGTGACCCTGACTGGATGCAGTACTGTTTTTGCAGCCCTTTTCCCATTATGACTCAGTCCTTCTTCCTCCTCTTCATTGCTTCATAATGAATAATCTCCAAATCAGAGCTGTGGCGCATGTTTTACTGATACTGACCAAGTAAAACTGTAGCTGGAGGGGCTTGGTTATCAAGGTTTGCCTTGATTCAAATGGTTTCATGGTGTCCAAACCTGTTTAAGTTAAAAATACATATTTGTGACTGTTGACAAAATGTTTCAATGTGTCCATGAAACTGACCATCGTGATAACCAATGATCGCATGAACAGTGGTTATCATCCACTGAAGAGCAGACGTTTGTTTAGAACCTGCATGGCAACCAACTCTCCCCGTTAAGCTGTTCAAGCATCCTGCTTAGTTGAACTAATTACACTTTTTAATATTTCTAACACATAATTCTTGCACTTAAAGCATTTTGCATGGGACCAAAGCTAACAGCAACACTGCTTCTGTGGAAACGAGGGCCACATCATTGCACCAAAGCCAGGTGGCCACCTTCTGTGTGAGCCTGTTTTGGTTGGCTTCGCTTCTTTGGCAGGCTTGACGGTCATCTGGTATGATTCACCTAAAAATGGCTCTGTTGAGCTGAGGCTCGGACATTGTGGTAAACAAGTTTGCTCATTGCTCTGATAGAAGATGGTGAAAGGTTGCTGAGGTTGTCGCAAAAAAAAAAAAATGGATTAGCATGAGGTTTTGGGCTTGAATGCTAATTTTATGACTTAATTTGAGGGATTTTGCAATTTAATTATGATTTAAACTTGATCGTGGTTTAGTTTTCGTGTTATGCATGTTAATGTCAGACATCTGCTTATTGTAATGTTTTTTTTGTTGATTGGAAAATAAACAATAAAGCTTCATGTGAGATTCATTAAGTAAATGGAAAAATTGTTTCCAGTGTTAACAACTTTTACTGATTAATCCAGGACTCCTTTAAAAAAAAAAAAAAAAGTAAATAATTGTAATTATTAATGTGTGTTGCAGACATATTTTTATTTAACTCTAAAATATACCAAAAAGTGTCACAGTGTTTAAGGTTTTAAAAGCTAAAATTTCAATTACACCCTACTTGGATTTATGTGTTGAATCAATAATGACTTTTAATTCAGCGCTATAAAAACATTTAGAGACCAACTTTCAAGCGTGCACCTTCAGTTCCAGGTGTTGCTGATTTCAAAAATCGTTTGTATGACTGAATCTAGCGCATCTGAATGGACTGAAGTGATCACGTAAATGTAGTGTCCTTTAAAAAACACTAAACCAAAGAGTGTAGTTGGGGCCCATGTGTAATGCTTCAGTAAAAACCTTTCTGTATAAATGAAAAGGTGAAGTGTTCGTGTCATTAAACAATAGATCTGCCTGTAGACAGTTGATGTTCGTGATTATTCATGGGTGCTTTAGCTTTATTCTAATATAATGTGTGTGTGTTTGATTGAATGTGTGTTCTGTTGAATTTCTCCCATTGTCAGAGTGGTTTCACCCCCCTCCACATCGCTGCTCATTATGGAAACATTAATGTGGCCACATTACTGCTGAACCGAGGGGCTGCTGTGGACTTCATGGCGCGGGTGAGTTTTTTCGCCCTCTGCTGTCAGGAATGGGTATTACAAGTGTTTCTGGAGTAAATATAACTGTTTTATCAGAGTTTCTTTATTGTCATTCGCACCTCATGTGGTACATGTGGTGGAGCGAAATTATGTACACAGGGTCCCAGTTACATCCAACAATAAAATGTATAAGAAAAACAGTAATAACATCTAAGATATGAACTAAGAAAAACATCAACTAAATATACACTAAGCACTCATAACATAAAACATTGAACATCAGCACAAACATGAACATGAGTCTGTGAGCAGATGTGCACGCATGAACACATCAACATTGAAACAGATCAGCAGCAACATGAAACAGATCAGCAACATGATATGGTTTTTCACAGTGATTATTCTAGTTAGAGATTCATGAGTCTAACAGCCTCAGGGTAGAAGCTGTTCCTCAGTCTAGTGGTTCTACACTTAATGCTCCTTAACCTCCTTCCTGAGGGGAGTGGGGCAAAAAGTGTGTGTGCTGGGTGGGTGGGGTCCTTCATGATGCAGGTGGCCCTCTTCCTGCATCTGGAGGTGTAGATGTCTGTGATGGTGGGGAGACTGATTCCAACAGATTTCTGTGCAGCCTTCACCACTCTCTGCAAAGCTTTTCTTTCTGCAAAGCTTTTCAAAGCTTTTCTTTTATGAGTTCAATCCCATTATTACTAATCTAAATAACTAGCAAATAATCAGCAAATGAAAATCAATAAAAAAACACAAACTCAAACTACAATTTAAAACCTTTAATATTTAACTTTTTTTTTTTCTTACTAATATTAGCGGATGTGAAATAATGATTTTAGAATTATCTGCCTGAACAATAATGGGGCTGGATCACCTTATAATTTAAAATCGTTCACTAGTTAAGAATTACATAAAATAAATCTAATGTCTTAATCAATTGAGAGTGCTGTAATCAAACACCCCCTTTGCCTTTGTGCACGGTTTCATTTTCCTTTTAGCAGTTTTTCTAAGGTACCACAGTAATAGAACTGTGTATATATTTTAGAAAGTTTGATGAATTACAGGCAAACTTACATAATTTGTTCTCAAAGAAGAAATTGTTTAGTTTGTATCCTTTTGTTTTGATTTGAGAAGAAATGTTGATATTAACGCACATTTCAAAATTTAAACTGATTAATTTAATAAATAGGACCTCGTGTTTTAGACATCTTAAACGTGGCACTCAAACCATGCTTTTTGAATACATTAGAAACAAAAATTGTTCTAAATCACTACGTATATCTGATATTTTATTATTATTTTTTATCAGGTTAAATTCTGTATATTTTGTTCTTCTCAAAACTATCCTGAAATTGTACCTAAAGTTGCCAGTTAAACACAAAAGAGCAGAAATTTCAATAGCTTTCTGTGAAATATAATAATGTGGAAAAATTAAGTTTAAAATGAAAACAACCAATTACAAACTATTTATTTAAAAACACACTCTGTACGTCCTAAATAAATGGATTCAGTTACTTTCAGTCACCATCGGAGTCTCACTGTGTGTGCATTTAAGCTGGTTAATTAACCAGTAGAGACTACTATTACCAGTTAATTTAATTGTCCAGACAGCTGGTTGTTTACTACAATAACATTGTAATTAGTGGTTAAACACCATCAAAATGTGTTTCAGTATTAGATGTTGCCTAATCCAAATTAATTACAGTTGTGTGAAACAGTGTGCTCCTTTTTGGCACTGATTACACACCAAAGCAGCTGCGGTAGCTGGAACTACAGAAAGACGCATTTGAGATATTTATTCAGTAATAAAAGGGTTTGGAATGTGAGTCTTTGGCTATTTCATTGCTAATTTAAAATCCCCTAATTAAATGTATGTTTTTGGTCATGATAAACCAACAAATATTGTTAAATTTACAGTTTATTTTTCATAGTTTGTTGTTTGTTGTTTAGAATGACATCACACCGCTTCATGTGGCATCAAAAAGGGGCAATAGCAACATGGTCAAGTTGCTGCTGGACAGAGGGTCCAAGATTGATGCAAAGACCAAGGTGAGAGTGTAAATATGATTTTTTTTTCTTAATAATGTAAGACTATGAGAGAATAAGGTAAAACAATTTTAACGTTGCTTTTCATCGTTTTAGACAGAATTTATGATCAGTTGAATTTACATGTACAGTATCACAAATAGATGTAGTCTCTTGTTTATTGTGGGGGTTCGGTTCCGAACCCGCCTGCAGTAAGTGAAATTCTGCCAAGTTCTAAACTCTTAAACCTACATCATTTTAACAACATACTTATATGTAGCTACTAAATTTAACTTACCAGCATGTTCCCACTCGGAGGTCCTCATCGTTGGCCGGTTGAAAGAAATGAACAATGTGCCCATGAGCTTCAGATGGACCACAGCTACGTGCGTCCACTTGGAGGTCCATGTGGGCAGACTACCAGCTAACTAGATTCACCGATGGGTCTGGTTCTGCTCTGGTTTGGTGGGTTCAGTGCGGCTTCTCTGCATCGGCTGGGCGCCGATCAGATCAAAACTTTACTTCTGTTTTTTTCAGCAGAAGGAAATGGGGCTTGTGGGTGGGGCCCTGTCAGTGTTGCCAGGTGAGAAATGTAGGATTATCGTACTAGAGACATAAAATTATCGTATTTTGAGGGAAATTATCGTACACCCGTCATAACCAAAATAACAAATCTGTTTATGCACTATAGTAGTGATGGGTCCACTTCCAGACCGGCTCTGCTTCTTCTTCTTTTCTCTTTTCTTTTCCTCACTCATGGGGCGGGCGCAGCGGACTATTCAGCCAATCATGGCCGTTGTTCTGAGGCAAACGCATACACGTCACTCGTATGTAACATTTAGAAAAGCACGATTGGCTGGAATTTCCAGCCAATCGTGCATCTGTTTGCGGACACAGATGCATTCAGGGTTCACAAAAAAACTCCGACAGACAGTTGCGAGAGGCTGATGACAACCGATTACAACCACACATTCACAGAATGGTTAAATTATTGTATATTTGGCCTTTTTTGGGATTATTGATCGAACATGTACAGAGGGCAAAATTGTTGTACAAATACGGTAATTATCGTACACCTGGCAACACTGGGCCCTGTTGCCTTCTGGGAAATGTGGTCGTTATAAGCAGCAATACAGTGGATGCTTACTGAGAGAAAACTACAAACTGGTAGCTCCTGTCCAAAGTATTTTATTTTTTCATTAACTTTTTACTGTACAAAACTGTATCCAGTACTGTCCCAGTCACGTGAGAAATATTAAAGTTGACAATCCTATGTCCTGTACATTTATTTTTGTACAATATTATGGGCTGTACATCCACAAACCTCAACAGCGCAAGTCCACAGAAGTCGAACCGCAAAGTAGCAAGGGACTACTGTAATCTCTGTAGTTTACTGCAGCATCTTTGTAAATTATTGACTTTTATGAAAGGCAGGAAAGAAAATGTGTGAATCCTGGATGGTAACGAACATTTCTTTTGGTCTCTTTGTTTTTAGGATGGTCTGACACCTCTTCACTGTGGAGCAAGGAGCGGGCACGAACAGGTGGTCGAAATCCTGCTGGACCGAGGAGCTCCTATCCTGTCCAAGACCAAGGTAGTTATAATAATGATAAATCTGGGAGATTCACATCACAGTCCATATCTTTTTACACCTTAGGATCTCAGAAAAACTCAAATAGAGCACATAGATGTTAAAGACACAGTGATGATGTTGTTTAAATCAGTTCTAATCACTCAGAGTGATCTAAAACCTGTTGCCGGGTGAGATAGCTGATCTGTTGTTGTTGTAGTGTTGTCGCGCCGTCTCCATAACGTCTGTGCGACTTCTCCAGAACAGCCCGTCTTCGCTGCGTAGCCCTGCAAGTTTGACCACACAGGACAACCAGTGTAACGATATAGACATTGTTGTAATGACCTCGTTATAACAATGCTTCTGTAACAGCAACTTCCTTCACAGTTTTTCTGCGCAGCGCACGGCCACGTCCTAACTCACTGTGTCTGTCTGTCCACATGTGTATGTGTCCGTCTGCATGTGTGTTTGTCTCTCTCGTTGTCTGTCTCTCTTCTTCTCTTCCCCTTTCTTTCCCTCTTTCCATTTACCTTTTGTAGAACGGCCTGTCACCGCTGCACATGGCCACTCAGGGGGACCACCTGAACTGCGTCCAGCTCCTGCTCCAGCATGACGTGCCGGTGGACGACGTCACCAACGACTACCTGACAGCTCTGCACGTTGCTGCGCACTGTGGGCACTACAAGGTGGCCAAGCTCATTGTGGACAAGAAGGCCAACCCGAACGCAAAGGCTCTGGTATGACTAGAAAAAAGAACACAGTGTAAAAACTGGCATACCCATTAAAATTGTGCTCACACTAGAAATGTAAAAAACTGATGTTGAATGCTGTCAATTTCAAAAATACATTACCGTATTTTTCGGACTGTAAGGCGCACCGGATTATAAGGCACATTAAACAAAACAAAACAGACAGATAAGTCAAACTTTATTCAACTCATTCATAATAACCACATAAAATCGTTTTGAGGTCAGTAAGCACAACCAGAATTAATATGTAAGGCTCACTGTTGATTTTTGAGAAAATGAAAGGATTATAGCATCTTATAGTCCGAAAAACACGGTATTTTTGTTTATGGTAAAACAAACAAACAAAAAAATCCCCAAAATTTGAACATTTTCAATATACTGCTATCAAAATAGGTTTGTAAAAATAGATAACTCAAAATATGGTTTTGTGTTTGAAAGGCTTAATATTTAAATGTTTATCTTATTAGGATTAACTCAATTCAATGAGCTCAATTAGAATTCAGACTTTACCTACAAATTTATTTGCTTGTAATAAAACACTTTTTAACCAAGTACTTTCTGATTATGTTTTTGATGTTGTTTGTTTGATTATATACTGAAGATATAATGTTAATTTCTAAATTTAAACCACTTTACCAAAAAGTGACCTAAATCCCTAAAAGTAAAAACAGGACCAAATTGACATTAAAGATGAATTCAAACAGAATTACTACAAAGCAGTAAAATCTTGTTTCTTTGACTAAATGAGAAATGAAATGGATCAAAAATACTGAAACATCGGAAAGTAACAAAAAGTATATTGAATTGTAAAAGAGAAAATAATTAGGATTTGTCAGTAACAAAAGGTAACTCAAGGTGGTTCAGATCCCCTGTCACGATAAATAATAACTCATTTAATCGCATGATAAATGAAAATGATCAACCTCATTTTCCTTTATCAGCTTTATAGATTCTTCGTGTCTCTCTCTTTCTACTGAAGACACTGGATGACAAAAGGCTCAACTCCGGTGTTCTTCACTGACCCCTCCCTTTCTCTTTTCTCTTTAAAATCCATTTTAACCGTCCAAAATTGCTTTTTGGATCGTTAAAAGCAGCTAAGCTACGAGCTAAGCTAACAGGCCGACCCCGGAGAAAAACCTCCGTCTTGTCGAAGCTCCAAAATTCACGGTTGAAACCTGTGCCTTCATGTAAAATGTTTTCCTCTGCAAAAAGAAGCTGAGAACTTGTTTACTGATTTTTTTATTAAAAGCTTTGTGTGGAAAATGCTATGCTAAAGAGCTCAAACCACACCAAGAGTCCGCCATTTTGAGAACTGAAGAGAGACAGCCAAGGGGACTCCCTCCCGTTTTCCTTAAAGAGACATGCTGCTCGCTCCCTCACTATCCATCCTTCGGTTCAAACAGTCTTATACTGCCATCCGGTGTCAAAAAATGTTCTACAGGCAAAACAAATTAACAAACACTTCTGAAAGTTGACAATAATTACTAAGTATTGTCAAATTACAAACAATATTATCGTTTATCACAATTTCTGAGACAATTAATCGCCCAGCAAAATTTGTTATCGTGACAGGCCTTGTTCAGATTTTAGTTATTAAAATTGAAAGATCTTTAGCTGACACAGAGAACAAGATTCTTTGTTCGTCTTCACAAATATTCATTTATACATTTTTCTGGGTCACGCATTTGTTTTTTAGAAACAATCATTTGCTTCTCTTGTCTATTAGTGGAAATAGCAGATTCAAGGTTTTGTAACTGTAGAGTGTTCATATTTTGTATGTTAATGACAAACACCAGTCTTCTTTTTCGTTCGCCTTTATGTGTGCAGAACGGTTTCACCCCGCTTCACATCGCTTGCAAGAAGAACAGAATAAAAGTGATGGAGCTTTTGCTTAAACATGGAGCATCTATCCAAGCTGTTACTGAGGTAAACACCGGACAGTTCATTCTCTCCCAACATGTAGTTTTTACAGAAACAGTTTTTTTTTATTATTGAAATTATTATAATAAGCTTTATTATCCCTGAGCAGACCTCACATTTGTTTAAAGTTTATGTCAATTCAGAAGCAAAATTAAATTTATGCTGTATGCTTTCATTGCAGTCGGGTCTGACGCCTATCCATGTGGCCGCCTTTATGGGTCATGAAAATATAGTTCATGCACTGACGCGGCACGGAGCATCACCCAACACCACCAATGTGGTGAGTGGATGCTCTCCTGCATGTTACAATCAAATGTTTTTTCAGACGTCTATTTCTGTTCAGGTCTGACTCGTGTTTCTTTGTGTCCTCCAGCGAGGGGAGACAGCTCTCCACATGGCAGCCAGGGCTGGCCAGGCAGACGTAGTCCGATACCTGCTGAAAAACGGAGCCAAGGTCGACACCAAGTCCAAGGTTAGGGCAGTGAGATGAACAGTCAGTCACTGGGTCAGGGGGAAAACAAATGTGAAAGCAATATCACAGAAGTCACCTCCTCTTTTAACGCAGGACGACCAGACAGCGCTGCACATCTCCAGCCGCCTGGGAAAAGTAGACATCGTACAGCAGTTGCTGCAGTGTGGCGCCTCTGCCAACGCAGCCACCACTTCAGGTTACACCCCACTACATCTGGCCGCCCGCGAAGGACACCAAGATGTCGCTGCCATGCTGCTGGAGAACGGTGCCTCACTTTCATTTGCAACTAAAGTAAGTCCCATGAAAGAGCTCATTTCGGAAACAAATGCATCTGCTGATTCAAGCATCACTATTGCAGATGTTACAGTACCATACATCACCACTAGGTGGCGACAGTTTCTGTTAGCCGTAACTTTGAGGCAACTTGTTAAATTTCCTGAACAACCATTTTCTGCAACAGTTTCTCATAGTTTTTTTTCTTTGTTTTTTTTTTTATACATTAATTTAAATATACAGCCAGGAATTTTATAACCCAATACAGTAATTTAAAATAGGGTTTTCTTCTAACTAAGTTAATTTTTTTAATAATTCATTTGGTGACAGTTTTTGCTGGTGATTCTTGCACTTCAAAGTAAATGCACAGATCATGGTATAACAAAAAGGAAAGAAAATGATTTATTAAACCAGTTTGTGCAAGTGTGCAATATAAAGCTGGAGGGCTTTTTAAAGGTCACTTTGTCAACGGAGCAGATTAATGATGGGTAAACCCCATGGTGTTCTCTAACACGTTTATACACCACATCATTTGGGACGTTAGTCTGCCATGCAAGAAATTTATGTCACCACAGTGTGATAAAAGAGAAATTATGGAACAGGCATTCTAAACTGAATTATTTATTGCATTTTTGAAACCAACCTGTCATTAGATAAATTGGAGGAGGTTTAAACTAACCTTGATTTTAAAACAACCCTTCACTGTAGAGGTCACGTGAATGCTGACTGCAGGCAATCACAAAAAAATTGGGTCGTTTGTTTCAAGAGCAAACGGGAATCTGTGGTAGTCCTTCATTCCTCTGGGAAATATGGCAAAATGTCTTTAAATATCTTCACACACACAAGAGGGAGACCACATGATACACATGTGTAGAGCAGCCATTTTGGTTTATTTTCTGAGTGGATTAGAATCTTATTTGCTGTCATGACTAGATTTCTGATGCACCAACAATATTTACTAATAGGATATTACATAATATAATGTAAATAATTTTAAGGTCATAATATGAAGATGGACAAAAATATATTTTTTTACCAAAAATTAGCATCCTTCAAGTTTAACTGTTTTGGTTTCCTAATAATAGTGAGAACAATAAACATCATAGCAATAATTTTTATTTTACATACATATAAGTAGGTAAAATAAGTTTTTCTATCAGCTTTTGCAGTCTTATGTTCAGATTGGAAAGCTACAGGCACGTGTATGTGTAGATTTACATAATAATCAAATCCTAAATATGAGAGAAACCAGCTAGTATGTTGCTACGGCTGATCTAAATAACCTCAGAACAAATAAATGAGAATTAAATGTTATAATTTCATTGTACTTTTTTCCTTCAATTGTTCTGCTGTGTTATGTTCCGTGTCCAGCAGAAAGGGTTCACTCCGCTGCACGTGGCGGCAAAGTACGGCAAGATGGAAGTGGCCAGTTTGCTCCTGCAGAAGAAAGCCCCACCTGATGCTGCTGGAAAGGTGGGCTGTCATTTATTTATTTAAGGATTTAATAAAAGCAAACTCAGTTACAAAACTTATTTAAGGGCGGCAGTCATGAATTTTGTAAACAGTTTCAGATGTTCAGTTGCTGGAAAACATGGCCTTTCCAAGAAGGAAGAGCACAACCCAGGTCTTGCATACGTCTGTGCGTGGTGGTTCTTGAAGCACTGACTCCAGCTAGGGCTGGGCGATATCGACCAAAATTAATATCTCTGTATTTTTAAGAAAAATTGCAATATACAATATATATTTCAATATTCAAACATCAGTTAAGTTCATAGCACAAACCAATGCAAACCAATGTAGCTGATTTTGTTTCATTTTTAATATCATTTTCTTCTATTTATTTATTTTTTCAATTTATATACTTTCTTTTATGATTGTCTACCATTGTCATTGTTGTCTACTGTTGTCATCATTCTTTGTTAAAATCAGGACTCTCTTGTAAATGAGTCCTCAAAGCTCAATGAGACTAACCTGTATAAAGAAAGATCGAATGAACACATGAATTTTACCATTCGCAAAAAATATTTTGAGTTTAACCCAACAAAGTTCCGTCAGGTCATCTGGAAGGTTTCTTTCTTTTTTCTTTTCTTTTTATTTTGTTGAGATGTTTCGTCCTTCATCCAAAGGACTTCATCAGTCCGAGGAGCCACAACAAACTAAGTCCCACACGCAGCAAATCCACACAGTGGACTAACCAGTTTTATGGTGATAAAATGGTTTATGGAGCGCCCTCTCTCCCCCATCGACTCCTTTTGATGTTTTGAACCACTTTAGCTATGGCTGCCTCAGAGGAGTCAGCGGGGGAGAGGGTGGGCCCCAGAAACCATCTTATCACCAGCAAACATGAGTTTGCTGCTTGTTGGTCTCTGTTTTCTGTGGCTCCTCAGATTGATGAAGTCCTTTGGATGAAGGACAAACGTCTCAAAAAAAAAAAAAAAAATCATCCAGATGACCTGACTGAACTTTGTTGGATTTTCTACCTGGATTATTATCATCTAGATGATTCTACCTGGATTATTGAGCATGCACTTTAATTTTGAGTTTAAACTTTTATTTCTTTCTCCAATAAGTTTTGTCAGGATTGAGTCATAGTTAAATAAATATATACAATATAAATATATAATAACAAGAAATACTTTTAAAATTTCTGCTGACACGGCAGACAACTAAAACAGACAGCAGATGGTTTTGTCTTGTAGCAAAAATCTTGCTGGCAGTTTTATCTTTTCTCCCCTGAAACAAACAAACACACATACTGGCACAGTTTTCCCAGCTCAGGCCCACTGGCACAAGCCTGTGCCTCCACCTGAAAGCATTTAACATAATGACAGACAGGCATGATAATGGAGCTGGTGTCACGCTAAAATCTGTCCTGCTGTCAAACACAAAGCTAAATCAGTTACTGATGGGAGTTTAATGACTGAACGAATGAAGATTTTTCTGTTGAGAAGGGAACGAGATTAGAAGTAGAGCGCAACATTTTTAGTGTTGATTTCAATAGCCCTGGTGCCTAAAAAAATAATTGCAAAGGAACCAACATACCTGTTTTTCCTATAGCAAAAGTTGCACTTTTCATGATTAACCTATATTTTTATTTTATTTTATTTGGTATTCACACATTTAGTCACCTCAACAAACTTCCTGTTCATTAAAGGATTATTCAGTACCACTAAACACAAATAATTGATTATAGTGACCTGTTTTGTGGACAAGTCAAATTAAAAAAAAAAAAAAGTTTGAATTTTTTAAATTATATCATAAAGCATAAAAACTGTTGACAGCTGTGATTAAGTACATTTGCTTTAATTCATATTAAACATCCTGGATTGTGATGGTTTTGCACGTTGCAGTGAGCACGCATAAATGACACATTGTGCAGCTCTGCCTCAGTGTTGCATGTGCAAGGTTTGACTCAAGGGCTGTTTTCATGTTCACCTGCTGCAGGTTCTCTGTTCTGTCATCCTACAGTGTCCAAAGTTTCAGACTTTACA